CTTATTTTGTTTTATTTTAAAGAAAGCAACTTCACAAAGAAGTTGATGGTGCTACCATGCAGTTAGGTTTCATTCATGTACTTTTGTGTGATTCTGGGTTGCTTATGTTTGTGCTGATTAATCACTCATATTCTCTGTTGGAAGGATGCAGGTTGTTTTGCAAGTGAATGTTGGTGTTAGCAATATGGTAGATCCAGTGCTTGAAGTTCTTCAATTTGAGAAGTGTACATCAAGCAATTATATGCGTGAGAATCTTGTAAACGGGCTTCCTAATGGTTATGAGGATCCTTGTCAGGAGCTGCTTAGCTGGTTGCTCCCTTTAGATCGCACACTACCTCCTCCTCGTTCTTTATCACCTCCTACTCTCAATCCCAGTATATCACACAAGCAATCTTTTTCTGCTTCTGGGTCTCAAATATTTTCGTTAAGTCATTTCAGAAGCTATTCAATGCCTTCATCCTCCTTTGCCCTTGCCCAGCTTCCCAACATAAGATCACCCCCAATATCTGAAAATCAAGAATTTGTGCCTGAAAAGCCTGCAAAAACACCTGATGTTATAAATGATGGGCAGCTTTCCTTTAGAGGAGTTCCTTTGGAGCCTGAACGGTATTCTGTACGCTGTGGTCTAGAAGGTGTATATCTACCAGGGAAAAGATGGTCAAGAAAAGTTGAAATAATTCAACCAATTGAAGTTCATTCTTTTTCTGCCAAATGTACTGCAGAAAATCTTCTTTGTGTCTTAATAAAGGTTACTATGAACATCCAAATCCTTCATTTTTCTCATAGTTTCTGAAGAAACTTTCAAAACTAATGCTTATATCTTCAATTCTCAGAACATTGCTCCACGGCATGTGCAAGACATAGTTGTATTCATAGATGCAATTACTGTTGTCTTTGAGGAGGCATCCAAAGGAGGTTCTCCTTTATCTCTACCAATTGCCAGTATTGAGGTCGGACATGGTCACAGTTTACCAAATCTGTCACTCAGGTACATGCAAAGTTTCTCATGGATGCTTCCAAAGACCCACAATTGCAGCTTAAAGTTTAAGTATGACGTGGTTTCTGCCATAAATTGATTCCCCTTTGGATTTGCAGACTGCAGTACTTTGACCTTGCCTTTTTCTTAGCAAAGAAATTCTTGCAACATGTTGCAATGTTATCGCTGTTATCCATCTTTCTCTTAGTTTTTAGTTTTGGTTTGAACAAGTTGGTTTTGTATAACATGCAGTACTGTCTGGTCACCTTAATGCTGGATTGGGCCAAACCTTAGTTTCACATGATTCTTTCTAGTTATTTATGCAAGCAAACACGGGAAGATGTATCGCATTACATACACTATACCTTGGTTTGAAGTTTCTGCCAAAGACCAACAGTTTCCATATATCTTAAGTATTACTTGTTTCCTTCCAGGCGGGGTGAAGAACACTCGTTTATTTTGAAGCCAGCAATTATGTCCTCCAGGGATCGGAGGATCAACAGTGATGTACCTCTGACTTTGTCACTCCCAAAGATGAGTGGAGCTGCCACAAATACTTCCACGCCTAGGGTTAGCGAGCTCAGCGCTGGTCTTACCGATCAGTATGCTGTACTTATATCATATCGCTGCAATTATACAGGTGAACTGTTGGAAAAATAGAACATGTGCTTGAGAACGAGTGTAGGTTGATAATTCTGACTTCCAGCCCTTTTTATCCTCTGTAGAATCAAAACTTTTCTTCAAGCAAGCCACAAGCTGGCAACCCTGTGCAGCTAGTGATCTTATGATCTCTGTGTCTTCTGAACTGTCATTACGAAATCCTAGCCCGAGTGCTCGAGTTCCTCAACTCCCCGTGCAGGTTATTTCGGTGCTTCTTTAGGTCTTGTTGCATTTTCCATGCCTCGCACTGATAGTGTTAATTGTTGGTTTTCAGGTCTTAACCCTTGAAGCTACTAATATGACTTCAGAAAACCTCACATTAACTGTTCTTGCTCCAGAAGCATCTGGTTCTTCTTCAGTTGTATCATTGAACTCAGCTCCAACCACACCAGATGGTTCTTATTATAATCTTAATGAGCCTATGAGAAGGTCTGGCTTGGGAAAACATGGAACTGGTTTTCGGAGACTGAATTCAGTTGTTGTCGGATCTCCAAAAGAAAGTGACAATGGAGGAAATAGAATGAGCACTTCAGCAGGCTGTACTCATTTGTGGTTGCAGAGTGCAGTTCCCCTAGGGTATGGCTATCCATTCTCACCTTTTTCCATCTGTTGAGAGTTACAGCACGGCATGTCAGTATGCTGAAGAATTACATTTGTTGTGGTTAACAGGTGTGTTCCTGCACGGTCAAGCACCACTGTCAAGCTCGAGCTACTCCCGTTAACAGACGGGATCATTACACTAGATACATTGCAAATAACCATAAAGGAGAAAGGTAAAATTACATGAAAAATGCAAAGTAGAGATCATTAACTTATCAGTTAGATATAGTGCCTACCCAGGGAGCAGAACTTGTTATTGCTACTGTTTACTACTCCCTCCGTTCCGAATTACTTGTCTTAGATTTGTCTAGATATGGTTGTGTATCTAGATTCGTTTTACTGTTAGATACATCCGTATCTAGACAAATCTAAGACAAGTAATTTGGGATGGAGGTAATACCTGTCATAGTCTGAATCCACCAGATTCATCAGATTAAAATCTTGCCTATGCAGATTTTTTTTAAGATAGTGTTTCTATGGTGCGACCAAACCTCAAGTGTGCCCTGTCTTTGGCTGCTGATTCACGACATGTATCTTTGCACCACAGGTCTTACGTACATACCGGAGCACTCCTTGGAGATACACGCATCGTCTGCCATCTCAGCAGGAAGGTCATAGTAGGAATTAGCAGAGTATTAATTACTCTATGTCTTCTGTGGTTGAACCCCTCTGCGTGGAGTGCAAGTCCAACTGTGCAGCTGCTCATCTGAATTGGAATGTTGGACATGGCAGCTCATACAGCAGGATCCAGGAGCCGAGGCAGCCAGATACTGCTGTTTCTGCCGAAGGCGATGATCTCCACATCAACTGGATAAGCTGAGACCAGCGAATTGTGTTATCCCTGTTTGCATATATGCATTTATACGTGGAGCTCTGAGTGATTGGGCAGGCTTGGAAAAAACTGTAATGTTGTGTTTCATAGTTTTGATATCATTTTTGTGGTTTTCCATTCTTTTTGGTTACATGTAAACCTGGCGCTTGGCCTTGTCTTAGTTGGCGGGAGTATGTATCATGTGATGTACTGTCGGAAAAATGAGAAATTTACGCATCATCAGTTTCATCTTTTCCTTTTAGTGGTTATCATATATGCTTGTTATACAGTCCTGCTGAACTTCACATCATCCGACTAATATAAGTGTAGACCACATGAACATTGTTGGATACCTTTTGCTGATATTCTACATGGAGTCTTACAAGGTTAAAACAAACTACAGGTAACTCGGTGAAAACAACAAGCATGCAATCCACAACATCCTATGTGCACACAAGAAATATGGCAAAAATTGCCATGACACATGACACATTTATTTTTATCAGCACAAGAACTAAAAAGGGACCTAAACAAATACAAGCATTTCCAATTACTGTTGGTTAATAATATACTTCCTCGGTTCCATAATGTAGTGCATATAGATTTTCTAAAAAGTCGAACTTCATAAACTTTGACCAAGTTTACAGATAAAACTATTTATGTCTCATGAATCTCATTCACTAACCATGACTTGTCACTGTAATGCCTACCTGACAGAAGGTAAGATGTTTTCTAATATTTTGTAGGATTTTCTAGGTATAGCTTTTTTTTTCCGATTATCGTGTTTATTAGTTTTAGTATGTATAATCGATGCACACTAGAAGTTGGTAATTGTCTTTTAGCATCGTGTTCCTAAGATTCCGCCTCCTAAAGAAATGTGCAAGTCGCCGTACCAAACGCTCCACTTGCAAGAGGTTAATTGTTTTTAATTGTTCAAATGTCGACATGTCATCATGTCACTGATCCACTCAAATCCGGATTAATATATTAATGCCACAGAAAATAATAAATTTGCCTGCATCATTTGAATGGAATTCATAGCAAACAAGTCAGTAGATTCAGGAGTAGATGAACACATCATATTCAAAGCAACACTTTGTAGGAGTAGCCTTTTTATGCGAAAGACCCCAACTCAGCTCGAGCTCATATGAGGCATGAACAGTAAAATCTAAAAAAAACAATAAATAAATAAATTCTGGTTTTTGTGTGGCAAAAATTGGCAGATGTTCTGAGTGCTTGCAGAATTTCATCTTGAAATGACATTCGTGGAAAAAAAATTAGCACTCAAAAATGCTTTTAAAAATAGCATTTTTTAGCATAGATTTGTTTTTTTTTTGCCATGACTTACACGAATGTCATTCCACGGTAAAAACTTTGCAAACAATCAAAATATTTGTCTATGTTCCCACAAAAGAAATTCATCTTTTTTTTTGAATTTTACTGTTTACTTGAGCTCATATGAGCTCGAGCTGAGATTTTTATGTAGAAGTATCGTGGTACGCCACTTCACTTTCATGTTTGGCCATTTCCTACATGTATATAAGAGTAATAAATAAGCATAATCAAAAAAGAAGGCAGAGATGCGTGCATTTGTAATTGTGCGAAGAAGATACAGCTAAAATATGCACCACGCATTACAACTACTCATACAACTTCTTCAATGATTGGTCAAACATGCTAACCTAACCATTATTGAAACCCTCCCAACGAAAATATGCTTTTCTTGAGATGCTTCATCCGTCCGTGGATCAACATAAACTTAAGAATATCAAATTACTACTACTACATCATTGAAGAATATTCTTATGAAGGTAAAAAAATACAAGCGAGTGAGCATCCATCCAACGGTAAGCTACAAAAGCCAACACCTCCATTTGTCATTTGTCAAGTAAGCAAAGCCGCCAGCTTGGACCCAATCAAACCCAAAGAAAGCGAGAACTTCCCCGGCCGTCCATGGCCACCTACCCCCTACTCCTCCTCCTCCTCCTCGGCGCCGTCGCCGTAGCCGCGTCGTCGGCGTCCGCGGAGGACACCCCAACGGCGTACGAGATGCTGGAGCGGTACGACTTCCCGCGGGGCATCCTGCCGGAGGGGGTGGAGGGGTACGAGCTCGGCCCGGACGGCGGCTTCGAGGTCTACTTCCCGCGGGAGTGCGAGTTCCTGCTGGCGAAGCAGTGGCTGGTCAGGTACGACGCCCGCATCGCCGGCGCCGTCACCGCGGGCAGGCTGGCGGCGCTGGAGGGCGTCCACGTCAAGGTGCTCTTCCTGTGGCTCCCCGTCGCCGAGGTCGACCGCGCCGGCGACCGCCTCAGCTTCTACGTCGGCCCCGTCTCCACGTCCTTCCCGCTGAGCTCCTTCGCCAGCAGCCCGCACTGTCGCGGCTACGACGCCGTCGCCGCGGCCGTCTCGTGAATCATAAGCCGTTGTTTATTATGATTTGAACAAGACTCACATGGGCCATTGTTTCAGTTAACCTTCTGTACCGTCGTGGATATCACAATGAGCTCTATACGATTCCAGTTTAGCATGAGAGCCAATGCTGAATTTTTTCTCAGGAACCAGCGTTTATCTTGAATTTTCTTGAGATGCTATCTGTTTATTGGCCACAGATTAGCTTATGTTAAGCAATAGTTTAAGCACTTCTGCGATAAAAGAACTTGCTTGTCCGGAATGCCTGGCCTACCGTCGGAGTCGCAATCCTTAGGTCATCCGTCGTCGAAGCAACTTGATAGCTACCGACCATAATTATTAAGTGATCATTATTTTTAGAACGGTGGCTCGAGGTCGGCTTTGAATTATCGAAGTCATCCACTAGCTACAGACTAGTCATAATGGGAGTAACTATTTCAACCCTATTCGGCCTTTGTTTGGGCTTTCGGTTAAGGCCTCGAGCAGATAAGCTGAGCCCAAGCCTGGCCCAGATTTTGGGCTTTCGGGCCCAAGTCATCCTGTCGGGCTTTCCATGGGCTTGGAGAGAAACTAATTAAGGAGTACTCCTTCTGGAGCCCCCGCAAGGGTTATTTGGGGTGGGCTTGGAGCGGGTCACTTGGCGTGCTCTTAGCTGCCGCCACGTGTCGCGCTCTAGGTGTTTTCTTCGTATTTTTCTGTACGTGTTTTCGGATTTTAGATGATTATTTTTATGTATTTTGCCTTTTTGGTCTTCCCTTGATTTTTTTGGATTTGGACCCAAAAAAAGTTCAATTTTTTTTGCGTGAAAAAACCTGTTTTCCTTTTTATCCTTCCGTGGGAGGAACATATTTACTTCTTGTGGAATGCACGGATTTGCTTCCGTGAGAGGCACGGAAAGGAAAAAAAATGCCCCGATTCAGGTTTTTCCATCCATTTTTTTCATAAAAAAATCCATCGAAACCTATCAACACGAATCTTGTTTTGGAGATCTCGACGCGAATATCCAACGGTGAAAAATGTTCGATATTTGGACGTACAATTTGAGAGATAAAACGTTTTGAATAAAACACATCTCCGGAAAAAGGAAAAACTCCCTTCGCACATGCAGTGCGACACTTGTCCCATCCTGGATGTAGGAGTGGTCTTTACAAAGAATACTTCCTGAATAGTGATTTTGTAATTATTGTGCTTGTTGATGGAGACCAGTTGGGCAGGGACGGCCGTCTGTGTAGCTGCAGCAACTAGGCGGCGAGCTTTGCACACAAGAGAGATGCCACTCCTCCATAGCCCCGCGGACGACCCCAGCAGCTCGTACTTCCACCCCTCCACGCGAGGGAAGTCGCAGTACTTCTCCCCGAAATCGTCCATGTACTGCATGCACGCCGCCAATCAAAGCAACGATGATCAGCGAATCGATCCAGCACGGGCAGCTTGGTCCATGCACTCGTGGTTACGTGGTACGTACCGTGATCTCCCGCCTGCCGATCTCGTGGGTGTACTTGCGGGGCACGCCGGCGGCCTCCCTGGCGCGGTAGAACTCCTCCACGGACCGGAGCATCTCCTCCTCCGCCGGCAGCGCCCGCCTGCCGGACAGCACCTGCGCCACCCACCGGGCCTGGGCTTCGAAGATCTTCCTCGGCACGCCGACGAAGGAGAGCGACGGCGCCAGCGACGGCGGGAACACGTGCTCGAACAGCGGGCCCACGCGGTTGTCGTCCACGGCGACGGCTCCGCCCGTGTCCAGGAACGGGAACGAGTAGCTGTACCCCGTGCAGTAGATGACGGTGTCGGCGGCGACGCTGGAGCTGGAGCCGGCGCCGCCGCCGTCCGTGAACGCCACCCGCCCGTCCTCGCACAGACGCTCCACCTGCCGGCCGGCCGGGATGAACGGTGCATTATATTAGTTGATTGGCTCCCTTCGTTCTCTTCTATGGGTGGAGAGAGATCGCTTGTGTACGTACCTCAAGTCGGAGATGGAGGTCGGCGCTGTGCTTGGCCAGCACCTTGGACAGGCCTGGGGTGACCGCCTCCGTGGACCCGGCGACGAGGTACACCTCCTTGGCCACGCCGCGGATCTCCATGGCGATGTCTTTGCCGCTCTCCCCGCACCCGACCGCCACCACCACCTCGCCGCGGAACGGCTCCGGCACCCTGTACGAGTGGCTGTGCATCTGCCTCCCCCTCCACGTCTCCATGCCTGCACATCTTCTTCTTCATAAACGACTATGGGAGTACGGGTGGAGCTTGCATTGCTTTGCTTACCTTTGATGCATGGCAATCTTGGCTGCGAGTAGTGGCCGGTGGCGACGACGACGGCGTCGAACACCTCGTCCACGCACGCGTCCAACTCCTTCCCGTCGGGATCATCGCACTCCCCGACGCCGAGGTCCACGGACCTCACCGCCCACCGACGCGCCGGCGTCATGACGGCGCGCAGGACCCTGGTGTTGAGCCTCACGGCGTCCATGAGCCCGAACGCGGCGCAGAAGTCCTTGAGGTACAGGTGCACCTCGCGGTGGCCCGGGAAGCGGCGGTCGTCGCGGCCGCTCTTGGGGCAGAAGGGGAAGTCGGTGAAGCCCGTGGATCGGCAAGAAGTCACGGGGAGGCGTCTGATTTGTCCACGAGTTTTGTGTGACACATTCACATCCTTCTTTAACCATGTTCGAGTCCGGCCGGGGCGAGCAGTGCTCCACCCACCTCCACTGCGATGAATAATTGTATGCATCATTCAGATGGTGGTTGCAGGAGCTTCAGGAGCTGGAGAAAATGGAAGAAGAAAATGACCTGTGTGGGGAGGCCTATACTAGGAAGTTGAATATTCTAGTAGAGCTTAATAACATGTATACTGAGGAAGAGACCCATTGGCACCAGTTTTCGAGTGGGAGATGGCTTCTAAAAGGAGACAACAACACTGGCTTCTTTCACAGGGTAGCCAATGGGCGTCGTAGGAAAAATTTCATGGTTTCATTGGAGTGTGGCTCCGTGGTTATAGAAGGGACCAAAAACCTGCTTTCTCATGCTACCAATTACTACAGAGAGTTGTTTGGACCAGCCCCTGGCAACATTTGCCATATCGACGCCTCATTATGGTCCCAGGATGAAAACATCATGCCTGAGGATAATGAGTACCTAACCCGCCCTTTTTCTCTTGAAGAAATCAAGACGGCACTGTTTGCGATGAAACCTAATCGTGCCCCTGGACCGGATAATATTCCTGCGGAATTCTATCAACATTGCTGGGGCGTTGTGAGTCCAGAGTTGTTCAATCTCTTTGAGTGGTTCTATGAGGGAAAATTAGATGTTCAACGCTTGAACTATGGGGTTATCACGCTGCTCCCTAAATCTGCGGAGGCAAATAGGATACAGCAGTATCGACCTATTTGCTTGCTGCGATGCCCATACAAACTGATCACGAAAGCTATGGATCTTAGGGCTACGAAAGTTGCTAGCAAAATTTTTAGCATCCAGCAGAATGCCTTCATTAAGGGGAGACACATTGTGGATGGCATCCTAGCATCCTATCTTTGCATGAGGTGCTGCACTATACTCATGTGAAAAAAGATGTGGGAGTGATATTTAAGATTGACTTTGAGAAAGCCTATGACAAAGTCAACTGGGAATTCCTTCTAGATTGTCATGTTAAACGAGGCTTTAATTCAAAATGGTGCGGGCGGGTGTCTCAAATCCTTAAGAATGGCACGGTTAGTGTAAAGATCAATGACGAGATAGGGCCCTATATCCAGAGCGCTAAAGGGGTGAGACAAGGTGACCCACACTCTCCTTTTTTTTTAATCTTGCGGCAGAATGCCTGACTAAGATGGTCATTTCAGCCCAAAAAAATAATCTCATTAAGGGGCTTGCTTTTGTGTTGGTAGAAGGAGGGGTAGGCATCCTGCAGTATGCAGACGATACTGTCCTGTGCTTCGAACATGATGTTGACAAAGCTATCAACATCAAGCTGTTGTTGTATCTTTTCGAACTTATGTCTGGCTTAAAAATTAACTATGATAAGAGCGAAGTGTTTGTGGTGGGAGGAGATAATGACACGGACATCATATATGCTGATCTGTTTGGCTGTCGTGTGGGATCTTTACCTATGAAATATTTAGGAGTTCCAGTTACTTATTCCACTCTTAAGAACATTGAGTTGGATTCCCTGGATGTTAAAATGGTCAAGAAACTGGATGCATGGGTGGCATATGCAGCCTCCTCTGGTGCTAGGCTCACCTTGCTTGATTCTAGTTTGGATGGTATCCCATCTTACTTGATGTCGATGTTCCTTTTCAACAAAACATTGATAGAAAAGATTAACAAACATCACAGACGTTTCTTTTGGAGGAGGAAGAATAAGAAGCGTGCTTATCATATGGTTAAATGGGCTAGAATTTGCCGATCGAGAAATATTGGTGGCTTGGGCATAAAAGACCTTCACAAACAAAATATCAGCCTACTTGTGAAGTGGTGGTGGAAACTGGAAACTGGTGATGGGTTATGGCAACGCATCATCCGGGCAAGATATTTCAGAAACAAAACGGTCGCGAACATTCGCAGCCGCTTCTCTGACTCTCCCTGTTGGAAATCTATCATGAAGGTCAAAGACGTTTATATGGCCGGGAGAAGAGTCAATATTAACAAGGGGGACCTGGCAAGGGTTTGGCATGACCCATGGGTGGAAAATGATATCCCGCGGGATCGTTTCCCTGTTTTGTATGATATCTGTCAAGATCAAGATTGTTCTATCGCCTCTTTTGTAGACAATGAATATAATCTTCCCTTCAGACGTAGACTCTTTGGAGAGCTGGAGGAACAATGGAAGTGGATGGTGTGTGAGGCTAAGAAGTTGCATCTGAATGAGAACCCTGATGCTATTTCCTGGTCTCTGAATAGGGGAGGTAGATTCACCACTAAATCTGTATATAAGTGGCTAGAGAGAGACTTATCTAGCCCTAATTATAAGTGGGTATGGAAAGCGACTATCCCATTGAAAATAAAAAATTTCCTAT